ATGAGAACACACCCCCACCCAATCAGAACACAGCCAAGCCCCCACCCAATCAAGTCACACCCCCACTAGCAGTTAAAAGGAAGAAGCAGCTGCAAGCTCACATCACTCTGAGAAGCACAGAGCTGAAGACAGAAGCCTGAAGATGATGAATGAGACTTCATCGAAACGTTGCCTAGATACTTCCAATCTTACGCGGGAGAAAACCCGAATAACCAAAGATCCATATATATATTCTTATATATATTCAAGATCCATATATATTCTTATGTATGTGTCAGAACATGCTGTCATTTGGGGACATTGAATAGATCTGTGACTACTGGCTTCTGTTATGGATTTATTTAGTCCTCTACCAACAAATTCTTATTCTTATATATTTATATTCTTATATATTTATTGTATCCACAAACATTTTCACCTTAAGCTATGAAACCATCTTGTGTTGATGTTGAGCTTTATTTCACTGAAATCCATACTAATTAATGATATAACTGTATAAAAGTGCATTGATAAAATGGGTAAGAATGTTGAGATCAGATTCTAAGATATTAAAATCTCAGGCATTCTCAGTACAGTTAAAGTACGGACAGCAACATTTTATTAATTGTCTGTGTATGATATATTGATGAAAATGTCATACATAAGAAGAAAAATTTGCAAAAAATCTTATAGGTGGTACAAAAGGAGAATCAATTGATACTGCTTTAAAAAACTTACTTTAAAAAGGCCTGTAGTTCATTGACAAATATTATTGCTTGTACATCTGGTGGAGCTCCAGTTATGGCAGGAAGACATGGTGGAGATACGTGATTTTTGAAAAAGGAAGTTCTGCATGTTTTTCTATTGTATAACTCTCAGATAACATCTTTTAAAGTCCAAGTTTATACAATTTATTAAATATCACAGTGAATGCTATAAATTAAGATTATGACCAATTCCAAGAATGAGCAATTGTTTCAACTTGTTTATTGACATAACAATGAATGGTTTTATGCTTGTTTGTTGTTACATGTGCACAGTTAATGGCTTTCTAAAGAAAATTGTGTGACTCTTTAATTGGATCTGTCTGAAATTTCGAGTAAGCAAATGATCCTTATTGATTTTGAGAATGTTATCTCTAAGTTTATTGAGAAATTAGCTCTATTTGCACAATATAGCTTGCCAAAAGCATTCTACGAATTTTGGAGAAATTTTAAGAACATTTATATTTTCTGAAAGTTAACATAATGACTTCATACAATGAGTTAACAAACTGAATACTGATGTGTGGATGATAAATCCTTTCAGAGAAATATGTATGGTGTAGATACATTGTGTCAGGATGATATGGTAGATTGTATCATGATTATGAATGTAAAATCAATGTTAAACAATACAGAAAATTGCAAAATAGAGAAGATGCCCTCAGTATATTCATAATTATAGACCAAATGTTAATCAATATTAATACTATAGCTTCCCCATTTTTCTATCTAGTTGAATTAGGCTTCAATGCAGACAATCATTTTCCCATAAAAGAAGCAAATTGTTTGGATATAATAGAAAAACAAGCTCTTTGTCTGACCACATCAATCAAATCCTGAAACTTAGATAGAAGACACTAAGACAAATATTGTATTACAAATGAAACAAAAATAAGTAATGTTAATAAAATGAGATAATTTTATGGTATATTTTTATGAATATGAATACATTTTATTTGAATGAAAATTTATGTGCCCTTTATATTTGAGTTTAAAAGTAAAAAAAAGATTAATAGTATTAAAATCTAAAAAATTAATGACAATAACAATGTATAAGTAAGTAGGCAGTAAAATCATTGCAAACGTAACAAATATTGAAAAACTGGTCACTGAAAGGTTGACGGTTATTGCTGTGTAATACATCAACGTATTTAAGTATCTGGGAATTACTTTTTAATCCTCTTTGCCTGGAGGAAATAATTAAAAGCTAAAGATTGGTTAATACAATTCTGTATTTCATAGATAGTAAAGGCCCACTGCCCTAATTGCTGTCAAAATCAAAATTATTAGCCCTCATTTGACCTTAAAAATACTTTGGACTATGGAAGCAACCTAAATTCTTAAGATCTAGAAATTAGGAGAGTACTTTGGGAATGGGCTGAGTGAAATACCATTCATCTATCCTCTGTGTACCTTCTCTCCGGTGAGTTTTAATAGTTTGTCATTTAAACTAGTAGAAGGGAGATCTAACAATATCCTAACACAAGCATAATTATGCTCATGATAACAGGGGAATACTGAATCTGCATATTTTTTTTTATTGCACTGCCTGTTTTATATTGTTTGGCACTAGGGCTTAATAACCCTTTTGCTGCTAAATTGTTCTGGCTGGTCTAATGTGGAGAAAATTCATCTTCTTTTGGCTATGCCTATATAGACATAGCTAATGAAGTAACTAAGTTTTGTGTAATTGCCTTTCTAATAGGTGAATAATGGTAATACTCTAAATATTGAATAAGTGTATATGTTTATCATATTGATGCCTAGAACACAATTAAATAGTCTATTTATACCCATGTGAACTCTGACTTCTATTTCTTCCTGTTCCTGGTTTATGTTCCCATAATTTGCTCCCTGTTATGTATATTCTTCCTTAATGGCTAATCTTTGACCCTAAATCAGTAAGACTGATTTAAAACTGTTTTCTTTTTAATCTGAGCAGCTGGGACGCTTAAAAGTGAAGCTCTGGTCTCCCACATTAAGCCTAGAAATATTCAATAGAATAAAAATGATAATAGGTAGGGTGGAAGCAAATGCTTGATTTCATTCTTTCCCATTGATATAATTTGTAAATGAAATAATAATAAAAGGAACAAGTATCATCTGTTGGCAACTGTTATGTATTTATGATGGTTGCAATGTCCTGGGGTCATGTGATCCCCATTTGCAAACTTCTGATGGGCAAAATCAATGTAGGAAGCCAGATTCAGCTAATAATTGTGTTACTGCAGTGACTGACATAACAGCAGAGGTGGGTATTCAGCAGGTTCTGACCAGTTCTGGAGAACCGGTAGCAGAAATTTTGAGTAGTTCGGAGAACCGGTGGTAACCTTTCCCACGGGAGTGGGGAGGGAATGGAGATTTTGCAGTATCCTTCCCCTGCCATGCCCATCAAGCCACACCCACCAAGCCATGCCACACCCACCAAGCCACGCCCACAGAACCGGTAGTAAAAAAATTTGAATCCCACCACTGCGTAACAGCTGTGGCAAGCAGCTTAAGTAAAAATTGGGGAAATGCACTTAACAGCTGTCTTGCTTAACAACAAAGATTTGGGGCTTAATTGTGGTTGTAAGTTGAGGACTACCTGTATACCATTCACCCATTAAAAAAAATCTTCTTTAAGGAACTGCTGAATCCTACAACATACTGTAAGAAATTGAGTTATATGTTGTTACTTTTGTGATGTATTTTCTTTGCCTTTCTTTTTCTCTGCAATTTGAAGAAGAGATCCCATTAATTTTAATATCTCATGTTATCTAACTGCATGCAACATAAAGCCAAGATAAGTTTGTTGACACCATAATTCACAATATGGATACTTGGGGAAAAATCCCTTTGTCTATAAAATGATTTATTTCCAAGGAATTTCATTTTTATATTGTCTTGTAAGAAACACACGAAGTTAAGTATTTCTTCTTTAAAAACTGTGTACTTTGTTTTCAAAAATCGCAGCTTTGATTGAAGCCCAGGATATAAATATGCACCTAAAGCCTCTCCAGTGCCCATTGGAAGAAATAGAAAATGTGGAATTTAATGAGTTGAAACCATTATTAAATTGCATGCTTCACATAGTGTGCTTAATATGGGGCACTTCAAAATATTACTGTGCACCTGCTAGGATAATTGTGCTTCTTCAAGAAATCTGCAATCTTCTTATTCAGCAGGTAAGACCTGAAGCAGTTCTAACCCTGCCTGATTGTTTGCTTGTTGATCACATTTAGAAACCACCCATCTCCCTCACGGGGCAACTCTGGACAGTGTACAAGTAAGACATAAAAACATAAAAGCTGTATATAATTATGCAAATTTCTAGACATTTTGGAAAGGTCAAGAGAGAAGGGGGGGAGGGGGGAAACCTCATCTCTGGAAGGAGGATGTTCCAGAGGGTGGAGGCAATGGCAGAGAAAGGGCCCCTGGAATCACAGATTCCACAGCATACCTTTTCTGCCTGATCAGGTTGCTGCTGATATACCGGTAATAGGGCAAAGATAGTTCCACAGGTAACTTGGTCTCATGCCGTGTAGGACTTTAAAGGTCATAAACAATACCTTGAGTTGGACCCAGAATCAAACCAATACCCAGTACAGCTCATGTATAAGTTTATATATGTTGTCCTTGGGACCTCCAAGATTGCTCGCGCAGTCACCTTATGTACCAGATGAAGCTTCTGGATACTTTTAAAGGGTAGCCCCATGTAAAGCATATTGCAGTAGTCCAGACAGGAGATGGTCAGGGCATGAGTGTGCAAGGGAAAAACCTCCCCATCCAGGAAAGAGCGTAGCTAGTACACAACACAAAGTTGAGCAAAGTCCACAACTGCCACTTTCTTTAAGCAGGAGGACTCCCATATTATGTACCAGGTCTGTGAGACATGAGAATTTCTGCAGAATCTTTTCAGTATAAACCTATTCGGCCAGCACATCTGAAATAATTGATTTTTGCCAGCTGTCATATCAAGAAGAGCTGTGAGACAAGGAAGAAACAGAATATTTTCTAACATGGGATTTGTTTTATCAGTGGTTAGATAATAGAAGTAGAAATTAGAAGATAAAAGACTATTATTGTCACTATTGTTGTCTATAAGTAAATTATGAAAGATCAGTACTATATATAAGTAAACAATATATTATTATTATTACCATTACCATCATCATTATTATCACTTTATTGAGTGATAATAAAAATTGAGATTCTTAGCATCTCATGTTGACAACATTGATGGCATAATTATGGTTCACTAAATAGGACAGTAAGAACATGGGATGCTGCTAGCAGGAAACTGTTACTATGCATTCAATCTCCTTCATTCATGGAATTTCACGTGAAATTTTACCCTCCTTCTCTTTCCCCACTGTTGTTTTAATTTCTTTTCTTATCAAGCATAAAATCAATTAAAAGGGGGGAAAATGGAACACATATGCAACACCTTTTGGTTGGTAGATAAGGAGCTTACTTATGCATTTGTTGTTATACACCTAACACATTTGTGTCCAAATCTACTGAACTTCCATTTTGCTAATTATCAAATCAATGTCAGTTCAATACTGAGTGGCCAATTTAAGAATCAAAGTAAATCAGCACATCTTTTACCATGATTGTTCCCTTGCAAAACTTACAAATATTTAATTTGTTTCTCTGATCTGCCCAACCAGGCCAAGAATTTTCTCAGTCCAGACGATCTACTTAAAGGAGAACCAGAAGAAAGTCTGAATAAAGTTCAGAATGCTTTTAATGTTTTTGACTACTTTAAACAAATTTTTGAAGAAAGAAGAGAAAATCTTAGTAATTATTTTCAACCAGGAGAAGAAGTAAAGCAATGGGATTTTCCTCCTGTAATGGTTTTTGCACAACTGAATAATTTCCTAGAGAGGCTTCATGTAGTACATGTAAGTACGTTGTGATGAAAAATAGAACAATGAATAATCTATATAGAAGCAATGTATTCTGTTGTCACCCTTTCCTGCAACCCATTTTGCTTTAATGCAGGGGTTCCCAATCTTTTCTATACCCCACACCTTAGAACATTCCTGATATATTCTCGCGGCCCTTAAAAATTAATAATTTTATGTATATAATTATACACTCTAATTTTGAAACTTCTAAACCCAAGTTTTTGCGCCCCTTGGAATATTGTCTATATTAAACCCCTGCTTTAATGGCTTAATGGATTTAGAGCCTTTCCCCAATTGCATTTGACTATGGAACAATCGTGACCCCTGACTGTCTGTTGATCATTAAGACTGGTTCAGTGATGCTCTCTCCTGTCAGGTCTTTGGGTATGACCTTCAGGACTATTCTAGTTTGAACAGCAGGGAAGTTCAAACCAGAATTCCCCCTTATAGTTGTCATGTTTCCAAGCTGAAATCTGACTTAGAAACATGGCTTTAAAAGAAGGATAAGCCCAACTAAGATTTGATTGGGAATATTTACATGGCGAAGGAGGTGAGAATGCTCCAATGTTTCACTCTGCAACTTCTCTCTTGCAATGGTGACTTGTTGCTTAGATACTTTTTGAATATGGATTTAACCCTCTTCTGAAAACTAATTCTGTGTTCAAAAGGAGTTGGACTAAATAGAAGTCAGCTCCATGGCGAAGCACAGAGAGATTGCTGGCTTGTTTCTGGCTTTCTCATGTTGTCGCTGCTTCTCCCTTCCCTGGTCAACTGTCCATTGGGTTGTTTTTCTTTCTTTTTTTAAATAAAGTTTTATTTGGGTTTTCACACATACAAAATACAAGTAAAACATCTTTTTTGAAAATAGCATGGTCCCGTGTTGAACTTCTTTATACAGACACAAAACTCAATTTCATGCTCCTTTTTGTGTTCTATTCCATATCTTATACTATTCTACATTTTCTATATAGTTTTTCCCCTCTTTTAATTTTCTCAATTTTATTTTGATTATCTCAATTCAAATCATTATATTTATATGTTTGTCTGTTCTGTTTCAATTTCATATTATCTTTTCTCATTAAACAAATTTTCTCCTGTAGTTACTAATTGGAGTATGACACCTTTATATCTTTTAATTACATCCATTCAACTCTTATTTAAACTTCAATATATACCTTAAGGTTATGACCTTCAATATAATACATAACTTCCAATCGAATTCTGCTTGGTACATTCTTATAATACACACTATATTCTTTTTTTAAAAAAAGATTATAAATATATGTAATTATAAACCCTCATTCCATTCCAATTCAGTTCTATCATTAATAATCATTAAAATCTTAACATCTTTAACACTTCTTTTCAATTAAATATCATACTTCCTTAAAAACACATATAATCTCCATAATTAATTTTTCCCTTATTTCTCTTCAAATATGTTTTGTAAATCATTAAATATTCATTTTGTTACATTTATTTATTGACAAGCATTCCACTGAATTACGATAGCTATTTTATCAGACATTTTAATCATGCATTGTTTCATATTTTCTAAAATTATTTCTGTTTCTAATATAACAATACTATCTTATGTACCTTTGCAGAATCCCTTTTTCCATTAAATTTTCACCCATTATCTCTAAATAGGCCCTGTTTCTCTATATTTTGTTTCTGTCCTTTATAACTTCTTTTCCTTTCTTTGTTCCCTCTCATCTTCTCCCTCCCCCTTTTACCCCCTTGTCTCTCTACTTCTAATTCTCTCTTCTGCAGTTCCCTCTTCTGTTGCTTTCTGATTTTATACTTATTTTTCACTCTATTTTTTGGGGGGAGTTGTTTTTCCCAATCTTAAACTTTCCATTCTCTTCCCCCCCTTTCCTTCCCCCCCCACCTAAGATTACTTGTTCATTAAAGATGGCTTCTTCTTTGTCGCAATCTTCTTGTTCTGCAGGCATTTCTTGTTGTTTCTCATAATTCCAAATCTCCATGTCTAAAAACTGAAATACGAAGCCAAAAGAACCTCTCCCTTCTTGTGCATCTTCTTTGTACTTTTTAAGTTCCATTTTCAGTTCTTCTAAAAGTGGAGCCATTTTAAACAGTTTTAAACAACCACCCGATTGATTTTAGTCATTCAAATACAATAAACAAAAATCCAGAAATCTTCAAGTAATCCAAATAGTCCCGAGTTATATCTTCTTATTTCTTTTTCCACTTTCTCTTCCTGGGGTTTTTGTTGCAATATTTCAGTTAGAATGTATCTTTTGGAAGTCTTGTTGAGATTTTGCTGTAAGTTCTTTTTAATTCCAGGCAGTCTCCTCCCTTCCAGATCCTGCCCTTTTATTCTTTTTCTCTCCTTTCCTGTTTTCAAAAGCTTTTGATTATCCAGAAATCTTTATTATCCCTTTGACTTTTTATTTTCAGCATTAAATGCCTATTAATGTCAAAGTGGATTTTTTTCCAATTTCTTGCTTAAGTCTCTTAGCTGTCAGTATAGGAAAAGGAGAAAAAAAAAACCCAAATATTTTCCCTTTTCTCTCTCCTTCGCAGCTTAAAAATCTTCTTAGGGAACAATGTTATTGTTATTTTTAATAGTTTCAATTCCAGGGTACTTTATTTGTTGCTTTTGCTGTTTGACCCGGTCAACCACAACTTTCTCTTCTTATCTTCCTCCTGCACATTCTTTTCCGGTCAAGTTCTTCTTTGTGGTGGCCATTTCTGACCACCACTACAACTGCCTTCGGGAAAGGGAGTAATGGTCAGCTGGGGAGGAGAGATGCGGCTCTCCTCAACCGTGCAGGCAGTCTCCCCCCTCTTCACCACCTCTACGGGGTGGCTTAGCCCCGAAACCAGCTGGCTCAGGGCACTCCAGCGGCAAGCACGGATCAAAGCCTCGCAGAGACGAGGTTTCAGTCTGTCACCGAAGAAGCTCAAACCAAAGCTCAAATTGGGTTGTTTTTCAATGCATCAAAATACCATAAGTTTTGATAGACTGGGGAACATCTTTTCCTGGGGTCATATACAGCATTTCCCCAAAAATATGACATACCCCCAAAACAAGCCCTTAGCCTGATTTTCAAGCCTGCACCTAACAGAAGCCTACCCCCAAAATAAGCCCTAGTTAAATCCCACCCACTATCTGGTTGTACGAGGTGGGGCAAGGTGCATGCATAAAAATCAAGCTAGGGCAGGGGTGTGGAGCTGTCCCATGCGCCCCACACCTGCTTTGGATCGCTGCAGCCAGGCCTCCCACCCCCAACACCCATCCCACTGCTGCCCAACTTCTGCGGACGCACACCATGTGGCATGTCGCGCTGGTGCTGCCACTCATTTGGTGCCACCCTGAGACTTGTCATGCAGGTGCTGCTGCTCGCAGCAGGTCACTGCGAGGCTCATCCTGCCAGTGCTGCTGCTTGTGACAGGTTGCCACATGGCTCATCCTGCCGGTGCTGTTACTTGCAGCAGGATGTCGCAAGGCTCACCCCGCTGCCACCGCCGTTTGCGCATGCAACAATGCAACACACTATGCAGCCTCCTGCCATGAGTGGTAGCACTGGCGTGATGAGCCAGGCAGCGTCTGGCTGCGAGTGGCCGCAGAAGAAGTCAGGCAGTGGCACGACAGGTGTCAGAGCATGGGAGACCTGGTGTGGTGATCTTAAGGTAAGCGGGTTGCAGTAATATTTTCTAATAATAATTTACTAATTTTTACTGCTAGGCAGTAAGCTATTGTGTTTGTGCATCTGCTGATATCGTAAAATAGGCATTAGATGATTTACTTTGTATCCAGAATTGAATATAACCATTAAAAAAAAACTATTGCAAATTATATCATACTTGTCCAATAAGGGCTTCAGCTTAATATAAAGTCTCCACTGTATTCTTATTTATGAGAATGTAAGTCTGTTTTTTAATTAGTTGTATGCTATTTTCCAATCCACCCCCCTTACAAGCAGCGGTTACCTGTTTGAAGTTTAGCTTACAGATAATCAGAGTTGGAAGGGACCTTGTAGTCCAACCCACCGCCCAAGTGTGAGACCCTACACAATTTCTGACAAATGGCAGTCCAATCTCTTCTTGAAACTCTCAAGTGATGGTGCTCCCACAACTTCCAAGGGCAAGCTGTTCCATTGGTTGATTGTTTTCACTGTCAGAAAGTTTCTTCTTATTTTCCAGGTTAAATCTCTCCTTGTACAGTTTCCATCCATTATTCCTTGTCTGGCCTACAGGCGCTTTAGAAAATAGCTTGACCCCTTCCTCCCTGTGGCAGCCCCTCAAATATTGGAAGACCTCTATCATGTCTCCCCTGGTCCTTCTCTTTACTAAACTAGCCAAGCCTAGTTCCTGCAACCGTTCATTGTATGTTTTAGTCTCTAGTCCCCTAATCATCCTAGTTGCTATTCTCTGTACTTTTTCTAGAGCCTCAACATCTTTTTATAGTGTGGTGACCAAACCTGGATGCAGTACTCTAGGTGTGGTGTTACTAAGGATTTATAGTGGTATTAGTGCTATTAATAGCTTATTGGCCCTTATCTAGCCCATTACAGATCTAGGCACTTCTATTACTTTTTCTGATCCAGATGGAAAGAAACAAAGTTTCTTGATTGCTTTTTCAAAATTTTAGATGATGAGGTAGAAAGAACACTGTGGGATTTTGAAGAGAACAATATTTCCTCTGACTGGTGCCTTTTAGTTCAATATATTATATATAGCTCCATTAAGTGCAAATACCCTTTGCAAACATAATACAATAAATATACTTAATGCAAAGATTTTAGCCTGCAGAGTCAACATTGCTCGTGCTACTTAGGTTTAGTCTGTAATACTTACGTTTATGAAGTACTTTATATTTAGTACTTATGTTTAGTCATTGAGTCCCAATACGATACACCTGTAGAAAAGTTTTATAATGAATTCCTACCTCTTGGCAAAATATGTCCAATAAAGTAAAATGCATATCTACTATCATATCAAACTATTAGAGGCAGAGGAAACAAACAATAAAACTTGTATAAAAATCCATATATTAGAGTTGGACGTCCCTGTTTTATTCTGAGAAAATTTGACCTTGTTAGCAGTGTACTTGTAAAATATTTGTGGCATTTATTTATTGATTATAATTTTTATGTTTTTATTGTGTTTGCTGCCAGCAGAGACAGGATCCTATGGAAAGTGTGGAGAGCCATTAAAGAGAAAGGCAACAAATTAGAGGATTTCTGTTACATATATTTTTGAATTGATGCATGAAATGGCTCAGGGTTACAGAAGATGTTCCTTTTGAAACATCTTAGCCTTAGAATAAGATTCAGTAGTAATAATTTTTTAAAATATCCTTGATCAATATGGTTGTGTATCAGCACTGACAGCAATAGCACCTGAGACTTATGCTACCTTCCTCTCTCTGTCAAAAAGTCTGTCTATAAATTGATAAATACAAATGATCATGCTCAGAAAAACATGTAATACATTAGGGATGAGAAATAAATTATGTGAAAGAAGTTTTGGGTATTTTTTTTTTTTTTTGGCTTTTGGCTAGCTAATCAGTATGTAATATTGTTAAAGTCCAAAGGCCAGCCTAAATGTCAAGGATATAAACTGTGAATTGTTGATTTTTGTAGGATCTTCTGATGACAGTTCTGGATATAGAGAAATTGGAGAAGTTGGAATTTAGTGGCATAAAAGGCAAATCTCTGAGTCAGCAAGTCCTGAGTATGCATGAAGAATTCCAGGAAATGTATAATGTATTTTCAGGACAGACTTATGACTGTCTGGATGTGGCTAATACGGTGGGTGATTTTGGAGTAGAAGCTCTGTACCTTTGCTAAAGAGAACTTCAGGGGTTAAACCTAAAGTAAAAAGTATCTGGTGTTGAAAGGCCTGTTCAATCAGAAATAGCTTTTATTAATAAAAAATATTTATTTGGTTCTTTTAGGAGTTTGAAAATGATGTGTGTGACTTTAAGAGAAAAATGGAAGATATTGATCGGCGGTTGGGGACTCTTTTTGCCAAAGCCTTTGATGATGCAGCTAGTGTGGAGCATGCATTCAAGGTTTGCAATTTGTTATACTGAGCTACTGCAGAACAAAGGAAATGTGGCCTAGTTATGTTTAAATAATGACAAATGCTCAGATGAGGTACTAGTTTATGGATTTTTATATTTCAGTAGATGCATACTTTATTATCAGTCAATGTTGGCCACAGCGTTGAAGTAATTACAATTTTATGCATTTTGATAGCTAGTTCATTAAGGAAAATATGTGAGCAATGACAAGGATTCTTGTTTGTAAATGATGATTGCAGGACATATTCATTTTCTTTCCTTTTTTTCTGTGTGATAATGTAGCTGATAGACATTTTTGGAAGCCTCCTGGATCGACCAATGATAGCAGCAGAAGCCTATGATAAATATAATTTTCTCATCACAATGTTTGACAAAGACCTTGATGATGCTAAATTGATCTACCTGAAACGTATTGAGGAGGAGACAAACATAGGTACATGTTTAAAAAGTCTTAATACTCAGTTAACAGACAGTGTTAATATACATTGGTAAATTGATCTAAGCAATTTCATTTTCTAAAGTTGCCATAAGGATCTATTATCTTACCTAATTTTCATTATAGCTAGTTTTCTTTTATAGATTAAAGATGTAACAAACAGCTAGGCAAAGTGAAGACAGTGTAAAAATAACAATCTACTATGTGTTATCTCAATATCAGGTTATCCAACCGGGCTTCATTTAATGTTCATTCCCAGTTGTATTTTGTTTTAGGAATAAGGGCTCATGGTTCTTTTTTTAAATTGTAGATTGTTAAATATCGGTGTGATCAGTTGGAATTCACTTTTATGGGAAAAAGACCTTTTCAGGCGTTATAATATCAGGGTATTTTTATGATTTCAGTGGACAATTAATTATTTTTGGAAAACTGATCCTTACAATGAGTTGGATGGTGCCAGGGAATGTGTCTATGTCATGTATTTAGTCAGGGACAGCATTTTCCCTGACTGAGATTTTTGTTGGATGTTAGGATTCTTATTGGTATTTTAGCAACCTACATTATTAATACTAAGCCTACTCAGAAAGTTGGTGTGTTTTTGAGTTTCAGGCTGAATTTTGTTTCTCAGGGTATTCACCAGTGCATAAGAATATGCCTTTGGTGGCTGGAGGGGTTCAGTGGGCTCAGGAACTAAAACACAGGATCAAAATCCCATTTAGTAATTTCAGACACCTCAGTTATTGGTGAGTATCTTTATTTCAAAGAAAAAAATATTTATTTTGCCAGACTTTCTGTATCAGTGTTCTGCATGAATGTTAAAATGACACTACTTGACTTTACAAAATAAGTTTGAAAAAAGGCTTTTGGCTTAGTCTACACTTTTTATTCTTTCTAACTTGATGGAACCCTGGAAAATGATTATCTAAAAGATTTGAGACTTGATCCATCTGTCTATCTTTCAGTAGGCTAACTCCCCCCCCCCAACAAAACAGAACAGGAACAATGTTGGTATGACTAGAGAAGCCAACAACAGCAAGCAATATTAAAAATGTGCTGGAGTCTCCTATGCTTATGTGACCCACAATGGAATGAATGGAAAGAATTTTTTATGGCTTCTGTCCCTTGTTCTAGTCTGACTTATTGTAATCCTAGTGAGACCTCAAAGGATTTTGTCAGGCATTTGTGGCTGGTGGATTGTTGAGAAGACCAAATAGCTGATGAAGATCCCACCTCTATATTAGAGTGTTGAATATTTTTCTCTCTGTTTTTGTCATATCTCTCGAAAAGATATATAACAAAACATTTAATTAGATACAGGTTTGAATTGTAATTATATATAGATTTGAATTTTAATGATAAAATTCAACACTGTTCAATGATAACAGTGATCTATCTGTCTATCTATCTATCTATCTATCTATCTATCTATCTATCTATCTATCTATCTATCTATCTATCTATCGACCTACCGACCTACCGACCTATCTCTATATATATCACTGTTATATAATTGAGAGTCATTTTTATGAAATGAATAGATACATAAATAGGGTTATTTCAGATTGGTTCATATTCTTCAGTAGCAGAAAGGAAAGATAGGACAACTGAAGACTATTATGTAGATTTCTGTAGGCCAAACTACTGTGATGTAATCATTGATACGGATGGACCTATGTGAACAGTTTGAAAAAGAAACAAATTCTTTGGAAGAGAATCATTAAGAGAATGATTAAGATCATATGTAACTTAAAATATTGACTAGCACATAATTTCAGTCAAATTATCAAGCCATAAAGTTTGATGCATTTTGTTTATAGTTCCTTAGATTCTATGGAAGGCAAAAAAATGGTGCAAAAGTATGAAGATTTGATCCAGTTATTAGAAAGGTAAATGTGTTTCATTAGAGCATATTAAAAGAATAGATTTGCCTTTGCTAAATTATTTTTATTGGTTTGGTGCAATATGTAGCTAATAGGGGTTTGGGGGTTAATTTTATCCAAATATTTTTTTCTTAGTTGCTTAATTAACTAAGTTAAGTGTCTTAGAAATGTTTTTTACACATGTGATATCAACATTGTAATATGATACTGAAGGCCCTTTGGGAATAATAAATAAAAGCACTGACGATGCTACCTGGTATGGGTAATGAAATGTCTGCAAGAAAACAAGCTCAGAGTTCACCAAGGACCCCTCATTTCAACCCTGAGCTACAAATATTCTCCTTTATTAATAAATAGCAATAGCAATGAGCAATGAGCCATGGTGGTGTAGTGGTTAGAGTGCAATACTGCAGGCTACTTCTGCTGATTGCCAGCTGCCAGGAGTTTGGCAGTTTGATTCTCACAGAATCAAGGTTGACTCATCTTTGCACTGGGTAGACCGGGGCAAAGCTATGCTGGCTCTTTGCATTGGGTAGGCCAGGATGACCCTGCGGGTTGGATCCGACCACATCGTGGGGTGGATCTGGCCCATGGGCCTTGAGTTTGACACCCCTGCTCTAGACTAGTCAAACCCTAATCCTGCAACCGTTCTTCATATGTTTTAGTCTCCAGGTCTTTAATTATCTTAGTTGTTTTTCTTTGCACTTTTTCCAAAGTCTCAACATCTTTTTTGTTGTGTGGTGACCAAAACTGGATGCAGTATTCCAGGTGTGGCCTTATACTAAGGCATTATAAAGTGATACTAATGCTATACCTGATTTTGATTCTATGCCTTTGTTTATACAACCAAGGATTGTATTGACTTTTTTGGCTTCTGCAGCACACTGTTGACTCATATTTAAGTGACCATCCCACTAAGACTCCAAGATCCCTCTCACAGTTACTGTTTTTGAGCCATGTTTCTTGTGATTCAATTTGCAAATTGGATTGTGTTTATATGGTGTAAGTGAAAAATAGCTGAAAGTTGATTGAGAAGCAACCTTGGAATCTTCTAGCAGTGGTGGTTATTTGGAGAAATGACTTTGTAGGAAGGAGCCAAGTAGTTTTCTAGATAGTAGGGACAGAAGGGCAAGCACTTCCACTTACAATTTTTTACTTCAGCTTTGCTTGCAATATAGGCAGGAAATCTCTTCCAATAACACTGTTGACAGTGTATAGACAGTGTTGATATGATTGTTTGGTCTTCTGGCAGATATCAGGAGAAGCTGTATGAAGACTGGTTCCAGACTGTCTCTGTGAAAGCTCAGTATAATCTCACTCAACCACTTATCCAACGAGATCCAGAGAGCAAAATGATTACTGTCAATTTTGACCCTCAGGTAAGATGAAAGAATCTTCTGGAAGACTTCTCTGGTTGATCTTCTGGAAGACTTCTCCCTCTTCTTTTTGGCAGAAACAGGTGCAGGAAACTTTCTCCCTGTATTCCTATTTGGTTATTCAGGAAGTTCTATAATTGAATCTCTAAATAGATATACAGAGAGAGAAGAGAAGAAATACAACTTTTTATAGAAAAAAAGAGGATGCCAGTGAAAAAGTTTCAAAGGTTTTATTTTACTTTGTGATTTCCTAGTTGGTGTCCGTTCTAAGAGAAGTGAGCTACCTTGGAGAAGATCAGATTGGGAACATCCCAGAAACAGCAGCAGAAATATATTCATCTAGGGAATCCTTCAGGCAATTAGTGGCCAACTTGGATTTAATGGTTACTTGGTACAACAAAACATTGTGCACTGTCCTAGAGGTGGAATATCCACTCATAGAGAGTCAGTTGCATGAAATTGATATTCAGCTGAAAGAAGCAGAAGAAACATTAAATTGGAAAACAAAAGGTAAGCTCCACTTGTAGAGTTGCATGTGATAGGAATAAAGCGATTTCTGATCTTTTAGCCGAGCTGGGTCTCCTTCAGAAAGCTCTCCTTGCTCACCCTTTATCCTCTGCTGATGAATGTGGATGTTACCAAAGTGGGTGAAAAAAACCCACATACTTTCTTCTTCCTGGTGTCCTCTGTGCACTGCAGTCACCTGGTGTCTACAGTGCTTTGTCCATTTCAACCAAGTATTAAGGGAGAACTTAGCTTGAGTGTTGGGGCATTTATTTTCCTCTTTTAATAGTCAGGGAACACAAGTCTTTGGCATTTGAAAAGACCCCAAGAGGGTAGAAAGAGAAGAAATATTTGGAGGATGGGAAGTGATGCTGGTGCTGATTCATTTCTGAGTGGCTGGAATGGAATAAATGGGTAAGATTCTCTTCTAAAAATTAAAAAAAGTAGTAATGGTAGTTGTAATTAAATGTTGAAGGTTGTATAATACTGAGAGATATGTTTTTGACCTTCTGTATTAGATTATTTTTGCTTTGGCAAAATTACACTGTAGTCATGCAAAGGCTATATTTATGTAGAGAAAAACAGCTCATGTTCAGTAACATTTTCTCGCAATTCATTTGTTTCCTAAGGGAACGCCATCTGGCCTTTCAGTAAGAGCACAGCAAGAAATGATTTTTTCCACCTCAGTTTTATAGATGGGATGACTTGTCATTGTTAGCTTCTTAAAATGTTCTCCCTTGTTGCTTTTATTGGAAGGCCTTTGGGATCGCATTTCACACATGGTTAACAGTGTTCGAAATCTTGAGCAAATGATTCAGAAGACCAAAGACAACATCGAGGAAGTTCAGAATATGATGAAATCTTGGGTCTTTCCAGTTTTTGAAAGAAAAGATGGGAAAAAAGAATCTCTGCTAAACTTGGATAATCAGCATGAGCGACTGAACAAACACTGTAAACTCATTACAGATTCAGGCCATAAGATTCATTTTCTGATTAAGGTATGATAATGCATGTATGGACATAATTAATCTCTTAGAAAAAGTCATCTGTGTTTTGTTCCCATGACCAAAAATATTAGTTATACACATGAAATGTCTCATCCCTGCTCTCATTTTAATATGCATTTATATTAACATTACACGAGGAGTGCCAGGTCAGAGACTGGTAGCCACTTTCATCATATACACCTGTTCGCATTTTGAGCAGGTTGGGATATAAGCTACACCTACAAATCAATATGTCTCTGATTAAACAGAAAGATTCTGAAATTGTATCTGGAATAGATGTTTCATTATTCTGTGTAGATTGATTTTATTGCATGTATTCACAACAAAACAAAATATGTAAAATACGGAAGTACAAAAACCTACTAAAAATATAAACTTAGAAGAGACAACAAAAAGTCATACTACTCAGAATGAAGAGGGAAAAAAATCTGGTAAATACTTTTTGTATTTTCCCTCTTTTTTGTATATAACCTATTTTTGGTGAACTAGTCTCATCTTAAGACCACGAAAAACCTATTTGATATTCTTTAAAACTTGTTAAAATTTTATTTTATTATTTTATTCAGAATTTATAAGTTACCTGACTCCAATTCTTTATTCCTTATATTCTTGTAAATTGTCAAAAATTATCTTAGTAAGATTCTTCAATTGTCAAGTGATTATTGGTTTAGCCTCCCAAATACTTCTTCAATTATATGCAGAATTGTAGGGTTTGCCAAAATTGCCAAAAGATTAGGTCCAAGTTGGGAAAAGGTCAATTAAAAACATTAAGGTAGCTTTTAGGCAATGTTATTCTTTTTACTCTCTTTAAACGTCTTCAAGGCATTATTACTAATAATCAGATATAAAATATTACTCCCTTTTTGAGCCAAACATAAAACAAAAACATGTTTCTTCACTATTGTTAAATATGAATTATTCCAGAAAATCAACTCAAATAGAATCTTTATTATGGTCAAAAACCAGCATAATCCAGATAATCAATTGATTGTGAGAACAAGGGTCAAACTTAAAATCCTCTCCTCACAAACATCTAAATATGTCTTGCTGCCTTTAATGTTTGGAAGATAATGAAATTCTAAATAAAATTGAACCAGGTTTTCAAAGGATAGTCAGTAGAAACTCTGGAAAAATGGTGGTGGCATGATTGCAAAAGATTCATAGGAAGAAGATCTCAGATCCACTTAACATCTTCAGATAAAAGATTAGGCAGCAAATGAGGAGAGAAGGTACTGAAATATTTGAGTATTGGTATTAGGCACAATTAGGGATGATCTGGAGTAATAGTTCCTGTTCTTTCCTTTATGCAAGCTGAAGCATCATCCTTAAACACTTTTCAGGCTACTAAATATGCAGGGCCCATAGGACATATGATAGCTACAGTCACACCAGAATGTATGATTCCCTTAAGCAGTATCAGCTAGATTAAAAGAAATATATTGAAAAAGTAAAAGGGAATATTAGGTATTGTCATTTCTACCTTTCCAATTAGTGCTGAGGCAAGTTCAAAGCACATGTCGTTTGATTATGATTTCTTTATATTTAGGAAAATTTAAGACTCTTTGAAGCAGACCCATCTTCAGATGTATGGAAAGCTTATTTGGAGCATATAGATGAGATCATTCTGGATGGATTCTTTAATGTCATTGAATGTTCGCTTAAATACCTTTTGGAAAATACAGGTGAACTTGTCCTTCTGGAACAGACTCCTTTCTCATTTATTTTGGGAGTGGTTTTTTCAATACTGTTGTTTCTATTGTGAATATAATGGAGGCAGAGCGAATATTGGAACTTCATGTTCTAATCCAGATGCAGTGTGCAGAATTAGGATTACAAGAGATCTGGGCTGTGAAAACAAGACTTTGTAGCTGGATTTATTTTGCTGTGATCAGAAATAAGAGTTTAAAGTCGAAGGTATGAAACACGCCCCCCCCCCCCGCAAATTATGCTGATCTCCATATCTATTCATTTAACGCAGTGTAGAGGACATAGAGAAATGGCCTTGAAGAATAGGAGGAAAAGCTGCTACCAAAGCAATGGTCACATAAATGGATCTTCAGCCTGGGCCAAGGAACTAGCTTGAAAAGCATATCAGACAAGCCTCATCCTTGTTTCCATGAAGTTAAAGTGAAAGGGGAGGAACATTCAGACTTCTGTTACGATAAAAGTAGTCCTGACTTACACGGCCTTGTGGACCGGTTGACCTTGTACTGCTAAGATGCTGCTTGCTTCATCCATGTTAGGCTGCAGTTCCTAGACTTTATAGCCAGCATGGCCTTTGTTTGGACTGTCTGAGAACTCTAAAAATAGTAATCCAAGATATCTGAAGCCTGCCCAGCTGTGGAAAGTGGTAGTAGTGTTTCACTGCAGAGGTGTGAAGGAACTGTCAGTAGACCAATTACATCTGCCTTCTTATCCTGCAGAGTCCAAGGCAGGCAATGCTCCTCTTTTCAAAATCCAGCTGGAGTTGTCTGTCCCTGAGATGATATTTCGTCCTTCCCTGGATGCTGGTGCCAGTGATGGTTTCTATGATATCATTGAAGGGCTCGTCAATAAGATCTACCGGGTCTCTTCCCTGGTACCAAGGCTTGCAGATCACTGCACATTTCCTCATTATCAGGTTTGATCCTTGGTGGCCATAACCCCATATTACATGTGAATCTGTGCCTCTACTCTTCTGTTTAGTTCAGGGTTGTATTTCTGCCTCCTGACAGGCTGACATGGAGGAGATGGCTGACCTTGCTGACATGCGCCAAAGTTTAATGGGGCGTATCCAGAAGATGATCTCAGCTTGTTGCAACTACCGCAAGTCCTTTGACCAGTACTCCTATCTCTATGTGGATGACAGAAAGGAATTCTTACATCAGTTCCTCTTATATGGCCACGTTCTCACTGCAGAGGAGATAGAAGTCCATGCGGAGGAAGGAGTCCCAGAAACCCCTCCGACACTCCAGCAGTTCAGAGAGCAAATAGACTCTTATGAGAAGGTCTATGAAGAAGTGAGCCACCTGGAACCAGTCTGTGTCCTTGACAGCTGGATGAAAGTGGACGCCCGCTCCTTCAAAGCATCTCTTCTGGGTGTAATTAAAAAATGGAGTTTCATGTTCAAGCAGCATCTCATTGATCATGTGACCCACAGGTACCACAACTTTTCTTGCTCCTCTTGGGTCTCTTATGTTAAGTAGCAAATGTGGTTAAAAAAGGAATGGATGAACATCTAGACCCAAGACTTCTTTCTTGTGGCACTCCAGTGTACATCAATCCAATTTTAAAATAGCTGGCATTGTGGTTTCCCTCTCTTTTCAGGAAGCAAGTAGGTCCAGTAAATGTAAGTTGTACAAAAAAATGGTGGTGTTTAAGAAAAAGTCCAAGAATTCCCTCAATATCTTGTAGTTCGGCCCATTTCCTCCCATTGTAACACCAGCTGCTTGTTCATGCGTGTGTTACAAAACTTGACCAGGCAGAGATCAGTTTGATGTTCTGTGAATCATAGTGTTTTTCTTCTTTGGGATCCTGTTGAATGTCATTTTTCTGGATTTTCTCGATTTAAAATGACCATAGATGTAATGTTCTCAATCAGACTTATTTAACTCATGGCCATTTTTCATTTGTCTGTTTTTAAAAATGTCCTTGAATGCCTTCAAACCAATTCTTCTATTCCCACATGGAATCACTTTTGCTTATTTGTTTGGCTTTTGAATTAGTTTCAGAGATCTTATTTCCATGATCTTTTAAGTAAGCATTGTACATATAGCAAATGCCTATTTGCTGGAGTGATTTCTACTTGGGTGGAATTAAAATTCACATATGATTGGAACAATTAGTACAGTTAATACCCACACTAACAAATAATGAGAAGAATTAGTTCAGGCAATTACAATTACTACAATTCCAAAGATATATGCATGAGAAAAAAGAAACTATGGGGAAACAATTATACATTTTCCAAAGGGGGAAAGCTGTTTAATTAGCATGACCAATGCCTAACAAATGGATAGCATGCTGATTCTAAATATTCTAAATATTAAAAGGTTTTAATTTTAACAAAAATAAAGAAGGTAATATAACATGTAATAATTATGGGTTGGAAGATTTTATTAAGGAAACATTAGAGACTGGATGATTGTGGAGACTGGGGAATGTTTTATTAATGGTAAAATTGAAAAGATAAATAGAAAAGTAGAGCAGCATCAGCTGATCATTACTTTTCTCAAAGAAGACAATATAAAATAATTTATTCCCAAGTTGTACACCAACAGTAGACTGGAACTGATGCATACAAGCTACCTTTAGATCAAGATAGGGAAGTTCCAATCTTTGGGATTGATTAGCCATTGTTTGCCACAGTTTTGCAACCCCTTCACCTCCAGAATCACTGTAATTACTAAGTGTTACTATGCACTTAACTGAATCTCATATTTTCTAAAATATGCCAGCTGGAGCACTTCCTAAAGTTAGTTCTGATTATGGAAATCTAATGTAATCTAATGATCTGGGGAGCATTAGTTTGATGGATTCTTCACTAGTTTTTTGTTTTTTTCTTTCTTGTAATTGCCTCATCCTATGCATAATTTCATGATCTGAAGGGATAGGCAGTGTCACCATTAAATGTCTTCAATGCTGGTTTAAAGTCCTTTCTATTTTTGTGTACTCCCATGGTTATGCTTTAAATGTCATGACTAATTGTTGCAGCAAAACAATAATCAAATGACAATGACTGAATCTTTGTTGAAGGGATAACAGTACAGCAATCTCTGTGAGGTCTTGTGGGATATAGTTGGAAATATCATGCCGTAATTGTAGTTTATTCTTGGATAAAGTGAGGGACACTAATTATATTTCCAAATTATGAGCATAGAATCATCAAAAAAATAAAAATAAAATATGAAATGAAAATGCCTGATTATTCCCAAGAGAAGATCATGCCATAGTTTTTCAAATAATGAGTAACTTCAGGAGTTCTGTAGATTTACTGGCATTTTTTCTTACTTACATTAACTTTGAATACATACATTTAACATGTTTTGGATTTCAGCTTTCAAGAGTGGAGAAGAATGAGCCCAAGGAACATTGCAAGCAATTGCCCATCCCTTTTAGGAAAAAAATAAATAAACATATCAAATATGTTTTCTAAAAATTGGATCTTTTTTCTGAGAAAAAAAGATCCAATTTTTATTTTGTCAAATCAATTATATTTCTTCAGTGCAAAAAGATGATCAAGCTGCTATTCTTTCTTTAGAATGGGAAAAGAGCCATGTAGTCCTTTTTTGTCCATGTGGTTTAAAGAGAGAACTATTCGTTTCTGTGGCTTTCCAGCAGTGGGCATTTCTTGATGTATTACCTCTGAATTGGAGGCTGGGACTCACCCCACTTCTCTAGCCTGGCTAAGGGCTGTTGAGCCGATAGCCAAAGGGAAAAAAAAAAAGATCACGTATAGCTTTTAAAGTTATGTTTAGATGGCATAACAGAGACCATTGTTTAACACTTACCATTAGAAAATTAATTCTCACATACCTTACTATATCAAGTCTCCTGGTTCCACCTCTCCATTACAAATGGAGTTTGAATTCAGATTTATTTCAGGGCCAATGCATATTTAGAACTAGCCTGCTGGCTGATAGACATTCTGCTGTTGGTGAGGGTGTAAGTTTCTCAAAATTTATTCAGCATATGGCAAATACATGGACTTATAGTAGTTCAAATGTTAATGTCTAGTCCACCCAGCCATTCAAGGACTGGGTGGTCTATGTTGAAAAAAATCAGACATCAGGCCGGTGTAAGCCCTTGATGGACAGTTTCTCAAAAGATTCATGGGCATGCCTAGTATCTAGGATGTCCATCTATATATTTTATAATCCCACCTTTCTACTTTATCAGGAAAGATATCAATTAAAACAAATAATGTATTTTCCCGCTTCTATTCAATTGTGTCCAATTCTCAGAGACTGCCTGGACAAGTCCCTGCAGTTTTCTTGACAAGGTTTTTCAGAAGTGGTTTGCCACTGCCTCCTTCCCAGGGCGAGAGAAAGTGCCTGGTCCAAGGTCACCCAGCTGGCTTTGTTCCTGGACTAGTATTTATGGTTTCCCAGTTTGATACCTTAGCTACTACACCAAGATAAACATTACTTAATAATGAAGTACCTTGCAAAAAAAAACATGCATCTTATCTGCTCTTATTAGCGATAGACACTAAGTACAAATTCTGGGGGAATGTGTCCAATAGCCTAAGATTTGGGTAAGAGAAGGTTCTTTTCTGAAGGTTAGAAAATTCACCTTTTCAAGCAGAGGTATTTTTAAAAGGGCAAGATCTTAACAGCTGAACAATTCATAATAAAAGAGAAAGAGAGCCCCTTAGATATGCAAATCCTAAGTGGTTTAGGGTTTACAAAGTCTAGTAGCAAGAATTTAAGTTAATATTTCAGGAACCGTCAGAGGGCAAATTCCTCTGGAATTACTGTCCAGGATCAGTCCAGGAGGTGGATGCAGTGCTGGGCAAATGGCCTCTGTTGAGTCAGAATCACTGCCATGGCCCAAAGAATAGGGATAGCAGCAATCTCTCTAGAACAGGGGTGTCAAACTCGCGGTCCGTGGGCTGGATGCGTCATGCGCTGTCCATGCCCACGCCCAGTTTAGCGAAGGGTAAAAAAGTCGTGACATGTCACATGATGATGCCGTGATGACATGAGGGTGTCACCCCTGCTCTAGAACTTTAAATCATATACAAGCAGGTAACAAGAGAGTCATTTGGACTTCTCCCAGTCCCTTGGGCAGGTAATCTTGGGCAAATGTTGCTACAAGCAATGGCTACTAAAATACACCTTATTTACCTACCCTTGTTGAAAGCAATCTGGAACCCAATAATTCTACACTTCTTTCAATTACTCTAAGACCAAAGGACTGCACCCATTTCTTTCTCCATATTTTCCCTATGGTTGTGATGAAAAATGTAGAAAAAGTTTCAATTTCAAAAAAAGAAAAGAGGCTGTGGGCAACCTGCCTTCCATATTTGTCCTAGCCCTTTGTTAGGCAACTGGGCTTTGGAAATTGACAGCTCATTTGTCATGCATGGTCTTTCTGCCCCCCACCCGTAGTCCAAGATTTAGGATTGCATTGCTGCCTTTTTCTTTTGTTCAGGTGATTTGCTGAGTAGGAGCCCTTATAATTTGGCAGCCAGGTTAGGTCTTCTTCTTTTTTTTGCTAAGGTAAACATTTTCTCCAGTTATTTGCTTGAAGGATGATAGATTTTGTTATCACATTTACTGCTCTCAACATATTGTTTTTTCTGTGATTGTTTCCTCTGCTCTGCCTTTAGTTTGTCTGACCTTGAGGAGTTTGCAAAGATTGCTGAGAAAGGTTTGAACAAAAAGTTGGAGAAAGGAGATTATGAAGGTTTGGTGGAAGTTATGGGTCAACTGATGGCTGTTAAAGATAGACAGTCTAGCACTGATGAGATGTTTGAGCCCTTGAAACAAACTATTGAATTATTGAAGAATTATGAGCAAGAATTGCCCGGGGATGTCTATAGACAACTGGAGGTGGGTGAAATCCTAGGTGCAAATAAGTGAACATAGCAAAAACTCACTGACTGATTTAAGGATACTGTTCTCTTCCAGAGAAGGGTCATTGAATCCTTGACCCCAAGAGTAGTAATGGAGCTAAGAAGGTATAATCAGTGTCAGGATGAGAAATGTCAGTGTGTACAGTGTAAATCACTCTGAGTTTTCTGAAGAAAGAATGGAGTAGACATCTCAATCTGTGTGATATGCACATAGTTGCATGCCTCATAATGATAAAACAGTTCTCCCAAACAAGTTCTCACAAGGTGAGATAGGACCGGTGTTTAAATTATTAGCAAACATTGCCAATGGATGCTGCAGTCCTGATATATCTGCATTACATAGCATTTCTATTGAATTGAGAAAAAAAAATCTAGAAATGGGCTATGCATCCAGATTTTCAGCCCCTTAACTGCTTTTCTTCTGCTGAAATGGCAGTTTGAAGTTAATTTTTGTAGACATAATTATTTTTAAACATGCCACATTTATTCTATTTAAAGACCTCTTTGCTTGTTACTAATCTAATAACACGCATTAAGATCATGACACAGAAATATGAATTGTAGGATAAAGAGGAAGACAGTGAGGGGCACTGAAGACCATGAAAAACTATTCCCTGCTTCTTAATGGGATGCAAGATGTAGATTTTCCCTAATTAAAAAAGCAAGGGAAACAATATTTATTGAGGAAAACATATAACTAGCAAAGTACCTAAGCAGCATATTAGAAATAAAATACTTTTTTTAAAGCGACCAGTATAATTTTATTTATTTATTTTTTGCTTCCAGGAACTGCCTGAAAAATGGAACAATGTGAAGAAGTTGGCCATAAATATGAAACAGCAGGTAGCTCCCTTGCAGGCAAACGAAGTGGCCATACTTCGCAGGAAATGTGCTCTGTTTGATGTGGAGCAGAATAAATTGAGAGAAAGATTTCACCAAGAGGCGCCTTTCAGGTAAGGGCAAATCACTGCTGTGAAGCAACAGAAGTCTTGTGGGTTTACCGAAGGTAGCATATATTTATCTGGTGGCAAGATAAAGACAACAAATCATTTATGTAATGGGGAGGCCCATTTATTTGGCTTGTTCTTTGCACTGGAATCAGTATCCTATTATTGCAATTATTGTGTTCTCAATGCCAAATAGCAAGAGAAGGTTAAAACATTTTGTAGCATCTTTCCATATCTGTCATTGAAAGATAGGTATGTGGTGTCTTTTTGCTCCTAGCATGGGTATTGCAGATGTCTTACCTTTTATTTGCCATTGCACTATGCTTGCAGTTCTGATGCATTGGTCTTGGCCTTTTCCTTGCCTGGTATGAAATACTTAAATGATGTTGTCACCTCAGTTTGACCCAACTCGCTCCTGAAATTTCCTGGTCAGTTAATGGCTAAAAGGCTACTCTTCTGGCCCTTTGCCCTCTGGGTTTTGCTGCACGGTTAATCTTACTTCAGGATGCAGAATTCTGAAAGAGATTCCAGCCTCTAATTTTCATAGAACAGCTTTCTGGGGTTGAAATTTAATACGTTTTGTTGCCTGTTGTCTTTTATTAGTACCCCTCCCCCAGGTGGAAAGTTTATGGTTCCGAAATTGTTTTGAATCAACATTCGGGAAAGATAGGAGCAGGTGCAACAAGTAAGTCAGGAGAAAGTGTGAGGTGGAAGGCAAATGACAGTTGTGTATATTTCTTCCTTATGCAGTTGGATATACCATATTCTTTAATTTCCGCTTGATTACACGCTAGTCATTAATGTTTAGCATTTAATTGCATTTGTAAGGGGAAAAAGTACACAAAACTGATTAAACCGAGTCAAAACTTGCTTCGTAGGTTTGATGCAACAAACCCTTATGAAATGCTAGATGCAACCCATGCAGAGCTACAGCAGATGGAACTTACCATGACCTCAATTTATAAATCAGGAGATTTATTTGAAGTCAATGTTCCAGACTACAAACAGCTCAAGCAGTGCCGAAAGGAAATGTGCATTCTTAAAGAACTCTGGGATATGATTTCCATAGTGATATCTAGCATGAATGAATGGGAAGCTACAAAATGGATGGATATCAATGTTGAAAATATGGAGCTGGAATGCAAAAAGTTTGCCAAAGGCATCCGGAACTTGGATAAAGAAATGAGAGCTTGGGATGCTTTCTCAGGGTTGGACAACAAGGTGAAAAACATCCTGACCTCCTTGAGGGCAGTGTCAGAACTGCAAAATCCTGCCATCCGGGAGAGGCATTGGAACCAACTGATGCAAGCCACAGGCGTGTACTTCACCATGGATGCAGACACCACCTTGGCAGACCTGCTCAAACTCAACTTGCATAGTTTTGAAGATGAAGTTCGGAGCATCGTTGACAAAGCCATGAAAGAAATGAGCATGGAGAAAGTTGTGAAAGAACTTAAAACAACCTGGGCTAGCATGGTGTTTCAATATGAGCCTCATCCACGCACAAATGTCCCGTTGTTGAAATCTGATGAAGAGCTCATTGAGACACTTGAAGACAACCAAGTGCAGTTACAAAACTTAATTACATCCAAATATATTGCTTTTTTCTTAGAGGAAGTGTCTTCCTGGCAGAGGAAGCTGTCTACGGCAGACTCGGTCATTTCCATCTGGTTTGAAGTTCAACGGAGCTGGTCTCACTTAGAAAGCATATTCATTGGGTCAGAAGATATCCGGGCGCAACTTCCTGAGGTAAAAATCATCATTATTAGAAATCTTGGAACTGTAGTGCTAATAAACCTGTGCAGCTTCAAACTGAGGAAAGGAATTAAATTCCCTGGATTACAATTCTTTTGGGGAAACCGTGACAGTGAAAGCAATGTGAGCGATTTTTTAATATTTATTGTAGACAGCTCTGCTGGATAAGATGGCGTAAGTAAAGGATGCAAATATACCATGATAAAAAGTTGCTTGAGCTCTTGCAAAGGATAAAATGGATGATGCACAGACTTTGCTAAATAAATGGTCATTGCCTACCTTGTAATTTCCAGACTAGAATTTATGGTGTTTTCTGTAGCTATAAGTCTGAGGTGGCTGGGTTATGTTTGGAGGGGAATTCCTCGTCATAATTTGCATCCTGTCACATATTTGGTATAAGGCACTGCTCAAAAGATTTGGATGTGTAATAATAATAAACACCTTTGAGAGACAGATGCAAGAAATCAGTATTTAAATGTTTTCTCATTTATAGGATTCCAAACGTTTTGAGGGAATTGATGTTGACTTTAAAGAACTGGCTTATGATGCTGAGAAAACCCCAAATGTAATAGAGGCAACTAAGAAGCCACAGCTATATGAGCAACTAGAAAATATTCAAAACAGGTGCGTTAAGATAACATATCTGAATTGTGTGCTTCCCCATTTCTAAATAGGTAAGGTAAGTACCTAGAAATACATACAGTTTCCTTTTCTGGGATTAATGATTAAATCTGGGTTTAAGATAATTTTTCAGTCACTTGAACTGTTCTTTTCATAACATGCAGAGTTAATTATGTTCAGTTGCAGATGGATGCCCTGTGGCTATGGACTCTGGAATGCCCCGAATGAGTAGGCCAGAGCTTCTCCTAAGATTCCAACATTTTGTAAAGGGCAGTATTTGTTTGTCTGTTAGATTTAAAATTCCACCTTTTTCTGTAGGAGCTCAAGGCAGTGCTCCCTCCGCCTATTTTCCCCACAACAATCCCTGTGTGGGAGATTGGGCTAAGGGAGAGTGACAGGCCCAGTGTCACTTAATGAGTATCAGTGACTGAGAATGGGTTGGATCCTGGGTCTCCCAGCTCTTAATCCAACATCGAAACCTCTCCGCTTTATTATTATTCTCTGTACACAAAGAATAATCCCTTTTAATTAATTTTCAACTTAAAGCACAGTAGGTGTACAGATAGTCCTCACATTATGACCATAATGGAGCCTGCCCATCATGTAACTCATGCTGACAAAGCCGAGTTTATAACCATTTTAGCGGTGGTCGTTAAGCAAATCACTGTTGTTAAGCCAAACAACGGTGCACTAAATGTTTTTGTTAAAAATCATTATTTTTGTTTTAAAAAATGCCCCTTTTTGGCAAAACCAGTTTAAAATGTGGCCGTGTGACTGCGCTTTGGTTGCTCAGCAACTGGGCCACATTTATGGCCATTTGCACTATCATATGATCTTGATGGGGGGCCACTGTCTTCAAATTCTTGTTGTAAGTACCCCCAGGTAGGTTTGTCGGAACTTCAAATGATTGCAAAGTGACCAACTGTAAGTCAAGGGCCACCTGTAGTCTTCCTTTGACTTTTGCACGTACTTCTCTGTGATGACCTGGGGTGTGGCACAAAGGCAACACAGTTACATAAGTAAGAAAAGTCCCTTTAATACCTCCAACTTTGCCCCCAATGTCCAGTTACCTTTGGCTGGAGAAAAAACTCTCCCAAGAACAGTCTTTAAATGAAGGAAATTCAGTCCGAAAACAAATTACATATAAATTGTAAATAAAAATCCACACAAACCATGCTGCAGCAATTTACTGGACAGGGCAGGATAAGGAATTGTAGACTTCAAAGGCCAAAAAAGCACACACAGTTGGGAAGATGCCAGGAACCCACATAAGCCTCGACCATAAAAGATAACTCACAATTTGCTTCCCATGAATCGCTGTGTGCAACCTCCCTTTTTAAACACTGTGTTCCCAGCTGCAGCTAATGAAGGGAATCAGGGCCCTTTCCTCCCCTGTAAGCCACGCAAGTCACGTTGCTCCCTTCTCTATTCCTCCCTGCGTGCCCTAGGATCAACAGGGGGTGGACCTGGGTCTTCCTCTGAATTCCCTCTGCCTTGCTCTACCTCTCCCCTGCTCTGGCCAGCCGGACTTTGCCCTTCCCCAGTTTCTTCCACAGCCAATGGAACCACACCCCCACTCCCTGCTCAGCCTCCCCCTCAGAATCATTCTCCCAATGCAGACAAACCATTCTTAATTTGGAAAAAAATAACAGAACCTTGTTTTTTAAAATAAAATGTATTATCACATATGCAATATATGTGCATAAAAACATTATTTCAGTAAATGTGAATGTATTAAGGCAGGGGTCCCCAACCACCGGTCCGTGGACCGGTACCGGTCCG